TTGTAACAAATGATGTCATTGGGTAAATCTGTTCTTCATTTATGAATATGAATGATATGATCTTAAAATGAGGCTAATTAGGCAGGATATCCAAACGACCTCTTTTATTAGTTTAATTATCCTTGAAAGATAGGCAACATTAAATGACATATTTTGATTTATTTTTATCTGTCTGTTGTAACTAGTAATAACACTGGTAGCATATTTTTACAAAGTAAGCGATAAGGCTCTTGGGAGCATCCCGGGGGCATCTTGGGAGCCTCTTTTTTGTATTATCATTATGTTTATGTATTTCCTTCAGAAAGAAGACAAAACCTTCTGACGGTGGCGGCGATAGAAATTATTTTTTCGTCGTAGGTAAGATATGTAGTATTTTACTGATTATACCCCGCTTTAAAAAAGTGGGGGTATACTGTTTTACCTCTGTCTGTCCTTCCGTCAGTCCATCCGTCAGTCCATCAGTCCGTCCGTCCCATGAATATTTTCGTCGCATTTTTCTCAAGAACTACTTGACAAGGATTTCTGAAATTTGGTTTCAGGGTTTATATAAGTAAGTTACACCGTGTGATGCATTTTCAGATTCATCACTCAACAACTTCCTGTTTACCGAACACTTGTATTAGATTACACATGATAGCCAAGTTGAAAGTTTTCGTCACATTTTTCACAAGAACTTCTTGACAAGGATTTCTAAAATTTGGTTTCAGGGTTTATATAAGTAAGTTACACCGTGTGATGCGTTTTCAGATTCATCACTCAACAACTTCCTGTTCACCGAAATATTTCGGCGGGGGTATCATCAGTGAGCAGTAGCTCACAGTTTTACTTGTTTTAAAGAACGTATTATGTATCATACTGATTATTACTATACTTTAAAATGTATTTTGCAGCATATATCTTTCATCCGATTACTTTTTTGATTTTTTTCTGTTATATAAAACTTGCAGTTCATTCACTTAAGGACTAGGTACCTTATGTTACGAAGTTTTCGTCTATCATATGTCCATTGATCGTGACCTGAATGTCATGGTTCAGTGACTGCTTCAAAAATAGAATTGTTTCTTTTTTAATGTGAAATAGTCACTTAGTATAAGTGATAAGATAAGTGAATTTGGAATATGGCTTCCTCGAAAGGTCTACATGTCTTTCAGACAGGTTTAACCCGACCTTATTTTCGTGGTTCATTTGAACATATTTTGTTTTTAGTGGTTTTATTCTATTTTTTATTTTTTGATACTATAAGCAATAAAACTACTATAACTCGTATATGGAATGCTTGTAAGATGTACATTTCTGTCTGGTAAATTTCATATGACCTTGACCTGAATGTCATAATTTAATGGTCAACGTTAAGTTTTCATGGCTTTGTCAACTAATCAGATACTGTAAGCAATAGGTCAATTGCTAATGAGACACATCTCCACTAGAGACTAAATGACACTAAATGAAAAAAAAATATGATATATACAGCAAAAAATGACAACCACTGAATTACAGGCTACTGACTTGTGACAGGCACTTACAGGATGTGGTGGGGTTAAACTAGTTTGCTGGTATCAAACCCTGCCCCTAACCTCGGACAGTGATGTAACAGAACAACATACAAACAAACTATAAAAATATGTAAAAAAAATACTCACTAGATCGATACAAAGCAGAGAAAAAACTAACAAAAACACAGAACAAACGTGTCAAGGAATTTATACATCCCACCAACAAAAAAGTACAGATCAGAAAGTACTCGCAGTTACTGATAGTTAGTTCAAAGCCAACAACTAGTAAAAAATCATGTATTTAAGACTAAAAATATCAATCAGTTAATGTCTGTATGGCAGGGATTATATCACCTTGACATCATTTTCATGGCGCAATGGAGACTTTCAACATACATTCAATCATCACAAGTAAAACAGGCAACATTTTAGCGTGTGCACTCTTGTTAATTTATTTATTTGTTCACCAATATATTTATTTGGAAATAATTTGGCAAGAAAGGGTTTAAAGTAAATATTTCTTAAAGCCTTGTACATATGCAATAAACATATTTTCAAAAGTGTCACTGGATAAACAAAGGTTAAATTGCGTTTCTGTTGATATTCATTCATAAATTTACTGTCATCTCATTATCTTTTAATATCATAGATGGGAAATCAAGTAAAGATTGTAACCAATGACGCGTGTTGAGTTCACAGGATGCCTACTGACAACAGTGCACCCAAATAAGTATGCACTATCAAATGTATCTGAGAAAAAATCAAACAAGTAATCGGATGAAAAATGTGACTGACTTTGGTTTAATATGTTGTTTTGCATTTTTCTACCGTTTGTTTGCCTACTTATGTTAATCATACTCATTGTTTGGAAGACTACGTTGATATGTATCATTGTGTTTCATGATTGCGTTCTGAACTGAATTTAAACGAACGTTGGTCTATATATTAAATGATATAACATATATATATAACTTTTTCAGACGTGTGAACAAAAACAGTAATAATAGTATTTAGTTTTCAGTATTGTATCACATATTGTACCCACAAATGAATTTGAAAACTGAACATGTTTTTGTATATTGTTTGATCATGTTGATGCAAAGTATACTTAGTAAATGTCTACAATAGTAGAGCTTATTGTTTTCTTTAAACGTATAAGTAAACTTTATGACTAAGTTCTATTAAGTATTAAATTTGATATACTGCGTGTGAACAAATTTGACGGATGACTCTGTAACTGGCAAGCATGATTCATATGAGAAAATCACATTGTCTCCATCGGGACTCGAAACCGGGACCTCTGTGTTACAAGGCAGCGCTTAAACCGACTGAGCTAAAGCAGTACTTCCTTAGCTCAACCTCTTACGGCTGACTAAGTATCTACTAGTGAAGGGAAGCAATCCCGTCACAACTGCAAACCATTGTTGTTGCACTTTTGGCAGTACAGTTGCTTACCATTACACCAATTTGAAATACCTGTTTATGATAAGTAGCATTATCATTTAATAAAATAAAGATTTAAATCTGTTACTTTCTGTTATAAATATTAACATCAATTCTCTGTATGCATCAACCAACAGCTGGCCACATAAAAAAAATAATGTGATAGAAAAACTACTTCTAACATCAAAGTTAGTTGCATTATTCATAAAAATCAGTTTAAAATCTTAATCATCCTAGTCCTTCTTGTCGGTTGTTAAGGAAAATAAATTTCCTTAGCAACCAATGAAAAATTTACCTCAAAATGACCAAATGTCAATCATGAACAGCTCATAAAAGGAGATTTTTTATTTTTTTTTGCAAAAAAGGTAGTAAAGAATTTTGGAATGGATACTTCTAATGATGTTCTTTAAATACAGGAAGAACCAAATTGGTTCATTACGAGGTTCATTATATTTATGGAAATTTTGGGTTTTATGTTAAAAATTTGGGATTTTGAGAATCAATTTATTTTACAGGGTATACTTTGAGTAATTAAGGGACAACTCTTTTGAATCAAAGTTGAACCTATAACTTGGTATTTTGTTTTCTTCAATTCAATTTAAAGTAAAGGTTAGAGGACAAAATATTACATTTTTGTTGAAAAACCTTAATTTTGGGATGAAGGGTACTTTAGGCAGATGCTTATTTTAATAACATGATTAGTTTCGTATGTATTCAAGTTATTTTTAATAAATGTGTTAACTTAAAATTGTTTCGACTATAAATCATTTTGTTTTGAAGGTTTGAGTCAATACCCATTTAGTTTCACATCAATATATGTATCATGATACATACACATGATACAGTTGTAAAGATATTTTTAAACAATATATTTAATAAACACTTTCTTATTTTAAATCAGATATACTCAGATTATTAAAATATGTTTTCTTCTTTAAAATAACAAGAATAAGAAAAATGAGACGGCAATGCAGTGCTTAGGCCAAAATTAATTCATTGGTCTATTATATATGCAAAATACTTTTATTAAAGTGACTAATATGTCAGACTAAACTCAAAGGCAGTCAGAACATTACTATCTTCTTGAGCAAATTGTTGTCAGCCAATCTTTCAAAGAGCAAAATACTACAATAGAAAATTCCAATCACAATCCAACTCTTTGAAAATTGATACAATGCATATGAAATGTGAAAAAAATTAGGTTAACAGGAATATAACTCTGAAAACTGAATGACATTCAGGCTTTAATATCCTAACCATTTAGAAAAATAAGGTTGCCCATTGTTGAATGTTAGAACAAAACTTTACAAAAGAAGCCTACCCAATGGAAATTTCTCATAGTATTTCACTTTCCTTGCTTAGATATTTATTTTCCTAAGGTAATGGGAATCGGGAATTTTCAAGCCCTGGACATATGTTAGCCAATGAAAGATAAAAGATAAGACTTTTTAACACAAAATCTAAAAGACATGATTATATGCAAGAAAAGACGTTAATTGCTGTTCTTCCTTTTTTAAATTTGCTCATTGTTGCTGACTTCTATCACAGAAGAAAAAAAGTCCACCTCAATGTTCAAAAGGCTGGTTATAGTACCTATTCGGGATATATTGATAGGGCAAACTTTTAAATACAAAATACAGCCTTTGCACATGTTGCAATTTTGAAAGTAATAATAGAAAACAGATAATGTATTCAACAAAATATTGAGATCAGTCACCACAGGTTCATGTGTTTATTAATGCATTAATGTTAGCCATTACTTCTTGTATGATAATTGATGTTTCATTTTCTAATTTAAAAGCTATTCCATCATTATATTTGGTGTTTATCTGTCATGAATAACGAGAGATGTAACTAGCAATATGTTGTGGAACGAAAAATCTGCACGCCATTTCTTTTGGTCTATGGCAAAGGTGACATGAGCCTTCCTGGATTTCAGAGCCCACTCTTGCATCAGTTGATTTGTGTTTGTTGTTTCCTCAGCATTCAAACTTAAGTTGAAACAAGTACCAACAGTCTGGGTTACCTTCAGTGCATATAAGTTTTTGTATGTGTCACTGGTAGTTCCCAATGATGATGTGGTCGTTTAAAGATGTATGCTTTAGAAAGCTTCTGTTACATCCAGAAACTATGCAATATAAATTCCACAACTGTTTTCTGAATTACTGATGACAGCAATGTCATCTCCAGAAATATCCAGTTCAATGCATTCCTGTTGAAAAATTTCTTGATGTTTTATCGGTTGTTATTTCATATCACTGAATGCTAAATTCTCTGATCTTGTTGCAATCTTAAGGTTCATGGTGAAAGTTTGGCGTGGATTTGTCACTTTGCTCATTGGAATAGTCATTCCTAAAAAATAACAAGGAAAGATGATAACATTAATATTCTGGAAAAAAGGAAGGTGACAGTGAGCAGCAAGGAAAGTCTCTTAACTACTTTTCTGTATTACAGTCAAACCTGCTTAAGAAACCATCAGTATTAAGCAATAACTTGTATTATAAGATCCCTCTGTTGTACATTTCATATAGATTGAACCTGTATATTAAAAGACCACCTGTCTTTAGAGCCAAAACTTTTGCTCTTCCTTAAGTGGTCTCTTTAAACAGGTTTTACAAAATCCTGGACTTAAATGGCTAAGTAATTTTTATACTGTAAATTTGAAAAACTTTATATTGCACTGTTATATTATTGGATAAATTCAGATAGAACAATAATTTAAACTCACATTTTTGCTTTTCTAACGTATTCTATGTAATAACAATTATGTAAGTAATGAAATGGTTTTTGTTATAAATGATTTTTGATTTTGGTGCACTTTTACATTTATCTGTTTAAGCCCCTGACTTGTCTGTCCCTTCTTACGTCTGTACATCCCAATATTTGTTTCAGTTTTTTACCTTTTATGGTTTGCAGCAACTAAATGCTATGAAGTTCCTACACAACGATTATTAACACAAAACACTTATCAAGTTCTAATTTGGGTGTTGTTTCATTTACCATTCATGAGTTATGCCCCTTTATAACGTTATATTCAAGCATGCACATCTGTGTTACTGTGAAATTCTCAGTTTCAAAGGAGAAAATTTTTTATAAAAGTTAATGTAGCAGGCCAGGTGAGCTAAAAATGGAAATGATCTCAAAACTTATGCAAAGTCCCATAAAAGCGCCTGTCCCTCACCCCTCCCCCCCTCCCAAATAAGAAAAAAAATCTGCATCTGGTTATTGCTGCACAGTAAAATCTCACTGATGCATTGTATATCTGTTTCTGTTCTCGTTTACCTCCTCATTGAAATACAAAATAGCATGTCATGACCATGTTCACGATGCTTTTTAAACAAATGAAGGAGCTAGAATATCAATTTGTTAAGTTTATTGTTTTTTTCCTCATATGCTTAACTTTTTTTACTGTTACAAAATGGGTATTCCTCTCTCAATAATCGTCCTGAACATGCCTGGAATATTAATGATATTTGCAACTGGACGTTAAGCAACCAACAATCAATGTCAACAAAATACAGATAAAAAGAATTTGCTGTGAAGGAGGTAGAATATCAATTTGTGGTTAAGTTTATTGTTTTTTCCTCATATGCTTAACTTTTTTTCTCATTGTTACAAAATTGGTATTCCTCTCTCAATATTCTTTCTGAACATGCATGGAATATTCATGATATTTGCAACTGGCCGTTAAGCAACCAACAATCAATCTCAACAAAATACAGATAAAAATAATTAGTTGTGGAGAAGCATATAAATTTGGATACATAAATTCCATATATTGATGATCAATGGTGATGCTAGAGTATTACTTAACATAAATGGGAAGTTTGAAAATTAAAATCATCACATCTGTAATAAAATTTTCATTGTGATCTACCAGCAGTCTTGATTTGAAAGTAAATGTCTAAGTATGAGGCAGGAATAATCGGTGTCATTTGTTTAGTGTCTTTAATTTCAAGCTTTCTAGTCTAGGATATATATATGAGTTATGAAAAATTGCTGAATCAGAATCAATTATTGTTATTGTTACATTATATATAAATTTTAAATGGCGAAATTAAAAGACTATAATTGATATTAAAGCATGAATAAATATTTTTCTTTAACATACATTTTCTATCTGTCTTTCATCTGTAAAATCTTTTTCATGTTCAATGTGCTGTTGAGACAAAAGTTTTTGTCAACAATTTCTGGAAATAGCTGAAAAATAAATGGTCAAATGAATGTGTTACAAATGTACACTCATTGACTTTGATCGATATCTTTTAAATAACAGTAAAATACAGAAATCAAGATCAAGGAACCTAATTATTGTGTTAAAATGGGCAACAAATAATTTGTTTTTTATCGGAACCAACATTTCTGTACACTTCACTTATGATTTTACTTTTGTTTGGCATTAAGACCAATATTAGAGTACATTATATAAATAAATGTCCTATGCACATCATCAAAAGTAAACTGACATCATATTATTACAAATTCACATCATTTGATTATCAAACAATTGTTAAAATAAACCCTTCGGGTAACTGTAGACCCCAATGAGACAGACCAAGTAATTTAAAATAGAACAGTGTTGGCACTTTGGCATTACATAATTGTAGATACATAAATATCTATATTTAGTTGAAATAATGGGAGATAATCAGCGAGTGTAAATAAATCAATATGAAAATATGTAAACAATTATAATACGGTAATATTCTTTTTAATGACCATGTGATGATTCTTTTATAACTGAATTTGATTAATTTTGATTAATTTGATATAACTGCAAACCATGTTATTTACAAAGTTTGAATTTGAGGAAATATATTTGGAAATTTTTGTAAAGTGTTACTAGTACTTGTTCTGTCTCACTGAGCTCTACAGTGATCCCAAGGGTTTATACATTACAAGATAAGCTTGGGTGTAAATGTGCCCCCCCCCCCTTTTTTTACCTTTACCTTTCTACTTGGTGTCAATCCCTGCTAAAATTGTCATGTCCTAAATCTACGACTACTTGCCTTGCTTTTTTCACAGTTTTAAAGAGAGGGATGCACTCGAAAGTAGAGGCAGAGAGTATCCAACTGTGACCCTTGTATAATATATCCCGTCGGATTGCTCGGTACTGTACTTGTATCCTCACAACAGGAAGGGGAAACCCCTATATAGTTCTATAGGGCAATTACAGAATATTTCATTTTAAGAAGATGAACTTATATATAATATATATATAAACAAATAATTCTTACGTGTTCCAACTGGCAAAACATATCCAGCATGTTTGTGGACAAGAAGAACCTGGTCGATGTTAAGTTTCCGGTCTGATGTTATCGAGGCTGTTATGCCTTATGGCTGTTCTCTTGCTCCTTGACAGTTTCTCAAAAGTTATGTACATTGATCACATCTAGAACTTCACAAGTGGTTTTTCTTTTTCTGAGCTCTATTAGGCTTTCAATATGTTTCAGATGACGGTTACACAATTTATTAAGTAAATTTCTGTCAAACGTATACCTTGTGTTTCATAGTTGAAAGTTTTCAATACTCAGAGTTTCAATATGATATTTCAGTGTAATAAATGTCACAAATTATGTCCGCAAATTGTTTAAAAAATGGACAGGAAACATTCATAATTCAGTATGTCACTATCTGTGGAATATTTCAATGATAATTGTTGTAAAGCTGTCAAACAAGGAATAGTGATCCAGAAATAGTATAATCAAGTTGTCTGCTGGAATGTTACTGCTACAGTTTTTTTCTATCTCCTGAACGAAGATTTTCAAAAAGGGGAAATAACTCATTTTTCAAAATTACATCCAGATTAGTTTGAGCATGAAATTTTTGATTTCTGGAATATGTAATATGATATAATTACCCTCAATACATCTAAAATAGTTTTTTTCATAAGAAAGGACTATTTTATCATGAAAATATTCTGATAAAATATTTATTTGCAAATAGAACCTAAATAAAAGGAAATTTCAGGGTAAATTACAATGACTAGTATTCCTCTATTGGCAACTTTCTGCAACATTTACCCAAATAAAATTTTGCAGCAATTTGTTGACAAAACATCCATAATGTTAAATTTTATAGTCTTTTATGTGAGGATTTCTGCGTTTTCGGTAAAACCGGATGTAAAAAATGACAAAAATCATGCCGATTTTTGTGTTAAGTGGACCACCTTATGTACCAAAAAACTGTTTATATTCGAAAAATTTGTCAGTTAGCAGTTTAAATGATTGAAATCTTCACTTATACCTATGAAAATAACAAAAAATGTTATGCTTTATCTCATTTTTACCATAAAATACAATGTTAGCCATTTCTCCTTGCTATACTACATTAAACATATGATGTCACGTTGTTTCCATGGCAACCAGACTATACAGATTTTTTTTGATTGATTTTGTTTTAATTTGATAGTTAATTTGGACCATTTAAACTGAAAAAAAAGTAATCGAAAAAAAAAATCTGGCCAAAATTTTTCATATTTGGTCTATTATTACAGAGAATTGATGTTAATATGTATAACTCAGCCAAAGAACACATTTTTACGTAAAAATATAAACTTAAATATCAATTTTTCATCCAATAAAGAATACTGTAAGAACCAAAAGGCATTATTTTTAAATTTATAAATTTCTAAAATTCTGTGACTGTGTATTCTGGTTATATATTATAATAACGGTTATTTGCCAGCCTATTTTTTTTTCATTACGAAATATACGTTTCTTGTTTTTAAATTAGTCATTAAAAACACGGTGAAAACATTTTAAAAGCCTGCTTTCTATGTTGATTTTAGTGGGAAGTGCATTTCCGGTTGAGTATCACACATGTATTTACAGAAGAAAAAAAAATACATGTAGCTGTTTTATTCAATGACGCGTTCCTATTAAAAACAAAAATAAAAAATAATCTTAAAATTTTTAAATATCTCCAAATATGAACATTATGTCTCACGAGTATATTAACATTTTATAAGTTATATTATAAATGAGATTTGTCATGGCATAAACAAAACGTAATTTGTATAGGTCTTTTTTCACGATTTAACCGTCCCTGTGGTTTTCATGAAAGCGTGTTCGACTCGAATGCGGGAGGCCGTGGGTTCGATCCCTGGACGGGTCAAAACCTACTTTGAAATTGGTATTTGTTGTTTCTTCGCGGCAATAAGGAATACGAGCAAAGACTGGTCAGCTTTGAGTCTGAATAATATGTTCATGTCTTTCTGCGGACTGTTACCTTGTGAACTAGCACGCTAAAAATACGGCTCAGCGTGTCGGTCTAGTACAAAGCATGGTTAATATTCATATTACATTAACATGTTCTCGTCCTACATATGCATACTACTTTGCCACTTGAAGTTAAGCATTAAATCCATCATCATCATTTTTAACGATTGCAGTATTTAAGTTCATCTTATAATTCAATATGGGAACATTTTTTATCGTAGCATGCAAGCTACTCCTGGCTACAACCTAGACGTATCTCACAAGATGCAACTTTACAACATATTCTTTTTATTGCAATTTCAAATTCAGAAAGATGCATTGTATTGACTTAACTCAAGTTCGATGCATTGGGTGACTTTTACAAAGTCTGCCTTCCTGAACTTAGTCATTCTTTACATCTAACAGTGCTATATATACCACATTTCCATCTGAATTTTTTCATATTTTGTCATTCCCTTTGCTTGATCATTTCTTTTTTCGATATTCATCTAAATGTATGACAATTCTTCTTTTTTTTTTTTGTTAACGCATCTTGATTTTATTCACTCATTTTATCTTTTGTTGTTAGTTTGTATCTTGTTTTGCTTTTGGTTTAGTAAGGTTGGTCGTTATTCAAAATCAATATTTACATGTTAACATGTATTATTATGAAAAATCTTTACATAAACGTTTCACACCACCATACCTCGTACAAAATTGAAAACTCGTCAAAAGGAAATAATGCACAATGTATTCCTACATAAAAATGGTAACATACGCTACAATTTTTTATTTTTTTTTTACAATATTCGGCATATTTTGTTAAAAATTAGTCTGAAAATAAAACATGCTACACCGAAAAACCAATGACCAGAATGGCAGAATTTCTCATTGTCAGAAAATTTGATGAATTTTGAGGTAGAATTTTTTCACAATTTGTCGGAATTGTTATTGGAACCAACTGTTCATCTCTTCATAAAATTTGATGAATTTTGAGGTAGAAAATTTTCACACAAGTTGTCGGAATTGTTATAGGAACCAACTGTTCATCTCTTCATAAAATTGGATGAATTTTCACACAAGTTGTCGGAATTGTTATTGGAACCAACTGTTCATCTCTTCTGACCGACATTTTCTTTTTTTCATATGAGTCGGAGTGCTTTCAAATACAAGAAGACCAAAGAAGCTATATCATTTAATTTCAAATACCGGTATATTGATGATGTTCTGTCAATTAATAATCCAAATTTTTCTGATAGGGTCCCATTAATATACCCTCCTGAACTAAAGTTTAAAGAAGCCACAGGTACAGCTTCCTCGGTCTCATTTACTGATATTCACCACGAATTTGACTTCAGTGCTTATTTCAGTACCGGAATCTATGACAAACGAGACTGTTTCAATTGTGATATTATAGCTTTTCCTCACTTTAGCAGCAATATACCAACTTCACCCGCGTATGTCTTATACATTTCTCATACGATATCAAAGAGCTTGCAACTGCTTCTCAGACATTTTAGAACGTCATCGTTTTCTGAGCAATGGACAATGATGGATTGATGTGTTCTCAAATAGCGCCTCGTCTTTTTTTTTATCAAAAACTTCATTGGAAATTACAAAGACTTAATAAATAGATATTCGGTGTTTACTTCAAAAATAATGCAAGATGGTCTCGAGATATAGATTCTACATCCTTGTTTTTATATTTTACTGAACTTGTACTTTATCGAGAAATTTTATACTATATTTTGTCTGTACTATCAATTACGAAACATTTTTATTGGAGTCTTTGTCAAATTTACTATCAAATACAAACACTTTTGATGGCGTCTTTGTAAAATAACTTGTATGCTTGTTTGAATTTTTTAGCCAGTTGTGTAGTATGTCTGTGATGTGTGATTACACAGTTTTTGTTGAATCCTAATTATTGTTATGATAATCTATTATGTCTGTTTGGGTTACTCACCCAATTTTGCTTTGTTTGTATAAATGGCTGCTCAAGCAGTCATTAAGATTGACATATGCAAACAATACGAAATGGCGGAGTTGAACCTGTATACATTAATATTAAGTTTCATAACCTCCAGAATAACATCCAATCAAATTTAGGTGTAATGTATACAGGTTTAATTACAATGTTTGAGCAAAAGTTTATACAAACAAAGCATGCAAGCCAACCAAAGTCTCACTCTACAATCATTAGGAAATTAGCTCTAATTTCAAAAGTATGCCATGAACTATATGGTTTTCTTATCCATTTATTAGCGGCAGTTACCCATGAATTACTATGCAGTATCAACCCTACGGAACCTATCCGATAACCATGATAAACAGAAACATGTGGCAATACTGTAGCACACAATGCAAACAATACATTTGAAAGAAACAATTTCACTCGAATTTCTTAACACATTGGAATAAAGTCGATATCCCTCTGGATGTGTAAACTCAACATTGACAGAAAAGTGTGTCTTATTTTCTTCATGAACTACTGATGACATATCTGCATGCACTTCGATATTATTGATGATTACGTTCAATAAAAATCATCACTAACTAACACTCATCTTAAGGCCTTCTCCAACACTTCCATTTAGAATAAAAACATGTTCATCAGTATGCGATAAAGTATTCCTCGTGTCATTCATCATTCTAATTGTTTTGACATGATCCTCGTATCCCATAATGTTTTGACACAAAAAATGATACAACAATAATGACAGATTATCTGTTGTGTCATCTAAATAAATAAAATAAGGAGACACAATAATTTTTTTCGAAATAACTGGCCTTTGATTTCACCATAACAAAAACACTAATTAATACCCACTCAATTATTTATGTATTGACGAAACCTTTCTGAATTTTGGACTTCGTACTGTTTAAGCCTTTTTATTTTATTAAATTGAGCGTAACAGATGAGTCTTTTGTAGGAAAACGCTCGTCTGGCGTACAACATTGATCATGGTATGTATGATGAGTTTTCATTTCCAAGTTAAAAAAAGAAAGTTTTAATTTTGATTCATGTCAACATTACCTCACAGTTTAATAGAACTTAATGTTAGAATATAACTCCGAAACCCTTTAATTGTTCACATCAACTTTCATTTTCGTCGGATTTATTTTGGGTATCTTGCCAATGTCACATCGGATTTGTGTTATTTTCTTTTGTACAACTGTTAACGGGGATTTAATTGTTTTTTTGTTTTTTTGGTTTTTTTAATTTATGCAATATTAGGTTTTCTACCTAGATTTGGCGGTTCTACAATAATGTTTAAGTTTTGACTTAAACATGTTAAAGTTGTGTAGTTTACCATGATATTGTGGTCACATCAACCTGAATTTTAGTACCCATGTTCAGTATGATATGTCTTAAGTTGAAGATATTGATAAAAGGCTAGGGTTACTAGTATTAGAAACAAGCTTCAGGTAATATCAAAGTGGTTTGTGGTTGTACTGTTCGAAAAGCAGCCATCAATGTGGTATTAATATGACGTTAAACTTACACGGAATTTCTTAGGAATGAAATTATCAATAAT